CAGTCCGTTAGGCGCCCAACTCTTGGTTTCCGGCTCTGCTCATGATCTGTTTGTGGGATCAAGCCCTGGTTGGGGCCCTGTGCTGACAGCGTGGAGCCTGCTTGGGATTCTCTCTCTCTCTCTCTCTGTCTGCTCCTTCCCCACTCACGCTTGAGCCCTCTCTCAAAATGAATAAATACAACTTAAAAAAGAAAAAAAGATGCGGAATCTTTGAGAGTGACAACGGTAAGAGGCTGGAGGAGTTTAGAAGTGCCAAACAGAAGTATGGGCGGGTAACTCCGTTCGGGCAGGACCTCAGGCCAAAATGAAGAACGAGGCACTGGATCGTGGGGAAAAACGTGACCCCTGTTTGAAAGCGGCAAAGAACGTGGCTGAGCTGTGTCTTGACGTTTGTGGAGCACAGGGCAAGCGCCCCACACAGTCGCATGTTTCGCGGAGGAGACGCCTAAGCAAAGGGTTGGCGTGTGCCCGGAGCAACGCGGGTGGGGGCCCCCCTGAGACTCCAGAGCGGGGAGGTGGACGGAGGCACGGACTGTTGAGCCAGAGGACACAGAACAAAGAGCGGGAAGACTGTCCGACAGATGAGAGAGAGGAGCCAACATTAAGGGACCGTAGGAGCGGACGTGCGGCCAGGGGACGGGGACTGTCCCCTGGGACAGCGGGAATGAAAGCCGTCAAGTCTTCTCAGACTCTACGAGATGGGACGGTGGGCTTGTCTACAAACGTGTGCTGGTTTTCCAGAAGAGGGAAGAATGTCCCCCAAAAGGCAATTCAGAGATCAGGCTGGCTCCTTGGTTTCAGTTTGGAAACTGCCTCAGTTTCCACAGGGCAGGCCCTGCGCGGAGCCTTGGGGGGTCCTCACCCAGAAGGACCACGCAGCCGTGCACCACGGAGGTGGCGCCGTGCCACGGAGGGCCTGGCGGGCAGAGCCTGGAGACCAAGAGGGTCATCCTGGAGCCTGCCGATCTATGGAAGCTGCGTTGCTCCACTTCGAACACCGTCACCTCTGTCTTCTTTCTTATCGCTTCCTCAGGGAGTGGGAATGCTCTCTCCTACCCCTGCCCCGGCTTTGTACTCTGGAGGCACATCACTTGTCTGGCTCACGGGTTCACACCTGCAGAGGAATTCTGCCTTAGAAGGAGCCATACCCCGAAGCTCCCCCATATCTGATTTGTAAGATATTTAGATGCAACTCTGGATGTTAGATTTGACTGTTGATGCTGGAATGAGTGTAGATTTCGGGGAGGGACGGGCTGTAGGGATGGAATGAATGTACTTTGCGTGGGAGAAGGACGTGAATCCTGGGGGAGGGACACAGGGTGGAATGAAACGGTCTGGG